TCGAACCAACGCGCGCATGGCCTGAACCAGAAGCGCACTCTGCTGAACTATGCCTCGTAAGTGTATGTGCCCGGCCACCCCGAGCGCTTTAATTTCCAAGCGAACGCAACTATAACGGGGAACGTGCCCTCGACACATCCCAGGGTAATGTAGTCCATGGGTATCAGGTAGCCGACAATAAAATTACGAAGCTCCCTAAACGGCTGCACACTGCGATCGAACTACTTCCCAACACGCACATGCTATTGTATTGGGGATACATCCAAACCGTACCATAGATTAGGGTTGGCCCAGAAAAATGGAGGTTGGACCCACCGTCGATGTGGACTACCGCCGATCGGATATTCCTGGTGCTCCCCCGTGCCTCTTCTGAGAACCTCACATCCTCCAGAAACGTATTCAACGCGGCCTTTTTTTCATGCGCTCGCAACGTACGACCTTGCTGAAAGTGACCAAATCGTCTACGTGTAAAACACCCGCCACCATTTTTCTGAAGGACATTGGGATTCCTGGACGAGCCCACCCAGACTAATCCAAACTATCAAAGTTGATGTCGCACTCCCGGATGCAGTGTTCCAGGTCGACCATCGCGCATGCCTCGCTCAAAGACGCCTCCATTGGCCAGCCTCCTCTGCGCTGGACAGCGCAGTCGCCGACGAGGAATCTGTCGTCCTTCGAGCTGAACGCCAACGCCTGGTTAACGTGACCGAAACGGATCATCTCGTAACCCACTTCTCTGGCCTGTTGTGGCAAGGTCTCGTGGCGCGCCGCCAATGTCCCGAGAGCTCTCCCTGATCTGTTCGCGAGCACGACGTCATTCTTGTCCCTTTCCTGGGCGCGCTGCAATAATTCCGGGGCGCGACGGACGCCTCTGGCAATAGAAGCGGCTTTGAATAATTATCCAGCACCGAGCTTGATCATACTCAAGGCGTGCTCCTTGGTTACCCCGCAGGGGCACTTTTTCCGGCGCTGCGGAAACTCAGACAGATGGGCCACGCGCTTTTCGACGTCCTGCATGTCCATGTGCCTCCAGATCGTCCGCGCGCACTCGTTGCAGCAAAACTTGAGTGCGCGAAGGGCCCGGGCCACCAGGCGAAAGAGACATTTGTGCGGATTGAAGGAATCGCTGTCTCTCTGTCGTGCGTATGATTGTTGCTGCACGTCAATCCGCCATCCAACCTGTGACGCTTGTCTTTTGACGTGGGATGCGCATGCGGAAGATGTTGTCGTGCACGAGCAGAGCGCGTGCGCCAGCGCGCCGGGATGAGCTCGCAAGAAAATTTGTTTCCGGCCGATGAACGCGCCAACCTACTCGCCAGGCAGGAAGTGATAGTTTTCGTCGTCCAAGAAAAAATCCCCTCCAGTCGCCAGGGATGCCCCTGCGCGGACGCGAAGTCACGTTGCTGGGAACTCTTGCCAATCGCCGCTGCGATCTGATCCTCGGCAGGCTCGGGGAAGCGCGGCCGGGCGTCCCGCGGCTGCCCGGACTGCCGCGCCAACGAATTCAGACGGCGGCCCCGCGCGTTGTTGCACGCAGATAAACTGACGATGCGAAGACGGTTCAACATGTCGTTGCAGATGCCGTCGTGCATCTCGGCCATTTGTCTGGCCCCGGCGCGCCCCAGAAGCGCGCCGTCTTTTACGCATCCTCGCGCCTGTCAAAACGTTCGGCTTCTTCCAGGGGCACCTCCCACAAATCTCCCATGGGGAACTGTTCGGCGCGTTGAATCTGTCCTGGAAGTACATTAACAAGGAGCTTCCCGCGCTCGAGTCAAACAATCACTTTTCGCCGACGGAAGACCGCCAATTCGAACACGCATCGTCGACCCACGGCCCCCAGCAGTTGTCTCACGCACCGTTTTACCTGTTTGAAAACGCGGTTCAAATCCGCGCAGACTCGGATACGAAATGCAGGACAGAAGAATATACCCGACGTGCACAAAAAGCGCAACATATTTTTGTGCATGCGTCGTTGCCGTGTTGCATCGAAACGAAGCCCCACGTGCCGCGCGCGGACGGTCAGCTGCACGGCCCCCCCCCCCCCCCACACTTCCACGCAGTTGCGTTGTCGAGCCTGCGTTTTGGATCTCCCAGGACAACAGCGAGCCAGACAATATATTCCAAGCTATGCATACATTGTGCGATACTTACCGCGCCCATGCCCACGTGCTCCCGCGGTATGCATAAGAGTAAAGATAAACACGGTGCACTCGGTGAAATGCTCCCAGCGCTCGCTCTGCGCGCGCAGCCCGCGCGCTTCTTGAGGGCTGAACTAACGTTCAGGCGGAACTCGTCTGATATGGTCACTGGTGGCCGGTGCCTGGCCACGGCCGGTGCTTGGTCTCCTCAGTGGGAATTGTCCTCGGCCGAGTTGGTTGCTTCGCAGGGGCTCGCGGGCAGCGAGCGAGGAACCTCTCGAACTTCAACGCGGCCAGCTCCTTAGCCTACGCCGCCGGTGCAAAGCGAAAGTGGCGCGCATGATGCTTCCGCCAGAACCGGTGACGAGGTCGTCGTGCATCTTTCCACGCGTTGTCGCGCACGTTGCGCGCGTGATCCACGCGCCGCCTGCGCGCCCCTCCGCCGACGACGTTGTAGCGGGCCCGACGTGCAATTGACTTTGCCCACGTGCCAATGCTGATCCACCTTAGCCCGTGCAAAATGCAGCGCGGCGTGCATGGGCGCATGGTCGGAGTGCCGCGCGGTGGCGCGCGCATGCAGACCGCGCGCGCGCCGCGACACGCTCGAGACATTACGTTCCAAAAAGTGCGCGCTGTGTGGATGTGGAGGCCCCACGAAGCATGACCCGCGAGAACTTGTACTCGTGGCTCCTGTGCGCCATGTCGTGCAAACCCAGAGCAGTACTGCGTGCGTGTGCAAAATTCCACGCGGAATCGTCGTGCCCGTTGCTGTTTGTAGGTTCTGGGATAGAGCCGCTCCATGCGCGCGCCGCGCGCGCGCTGCGTGACATGGCGCGCGGAGCATGCATCCTTGCAGCCCGAAGTGACCCGCGCCATGGCGTGCCTGGATAGAAGCCCGCGCCGGTCCCCGCGCGACGACGCAGTCAGGACAGGCTCCGCTGGAATCCTGAGAACTGCGGCGGCTCCAGAGGCCAGTCGCCGGGCTCGCGCAGCATCGAGGTGGCCGCTCAATGACAACCGCTGCGATTTCGCTGCACCTGTGAGACCTCATCTGCTCGAAGACGGAGGTAGGGAACGCGACCGCAAGAGCAGCGAGTAAAACGAGTGCGACAAAGAAGAGAAGACAGGGGCGAGAAAGAGCGAGGGAGAGAGAGAGAGAGAGAGAGAGAGAGAGAGAGAGAGAGAGAAAGAAAGAGAGAGACAGAGACAGAGAGAGAGAGAGAGAGAGAAACCAAAAAAAACAAAACAACAAGAGGGAGAGAGAGAGAGATGAGAGAGACGACGAGAGAGAGAGAGGAGCGAGAGGAGAGAAAGGGGAAAGAGAGAGAGAGAGAGGAGATAGAGAGAGAGAGAGAGAGAGAGAGAGCGAGAGAGCAGAGAGAGAGAGAGAGAGACGCTGAGAGAGAGAGAGAGAGAGAGAGGGGGGGGAGAGCGAGAAAAGAGAGAGAAGAGAGAGAGAGGAGAGAGAGAGGATACATATATATATTTATACATATATATTTCTAAATTTATAAAAAAAAGAGACGAGGAGAAGGAGAGAGAGAGAGAGAGAGAGAACGCGGGAGAAAGAGAGAGAGAGAGAGACGAGAGAGAGAGAGAGAGAGGCAGAGAGGGGAGAGAATATGGGAGAGGTGACGAGAGAGAGAGAGAAGGAGAGAGAGAGAGAGAGAGAGAGAGAGAGAGGCAAAGAGGGAGAGATATGCAGAGAGAGAGAGGGAAAGTGAGAGAGAGGTAAAGAGACAGAGAGAGGGAGAAAGGGAGACAGAGAAAAAGAGAGAGAGAGAGAGAGAACCAGAGAGAGAAAGAAAGAGTGAGAGAGAGAGAGAGAGAGAGAGAGAGAGACAGA